TGGATGGATGGATGGATGGATGGATGGATGGATGGATGGGTGGATGGTGATAAGAGTTGTACGAGCTCCCAATAAAATGATTTTAAAAAGAAAAAAAAAGCGTCAAAAGGCAGCTCCCGAAGGCAAAGCAAAGCATTATAATGAAATGTCCAGACTTTCAGTTAGAGAACTGAAAAGGGAGGCACAAGCTTAGCATGTCTCAAACAGAAAGAACTGAAGAGAGCAAGCAAGCCACACACTGAAACAGTAGACTGTTTGTGTTACACCTGACTCATTAGCACTAGGATTTCGATAACTGGAGAAGGTTGGGTGGAAGTGGTGGCTAGTCTAAGGGAATGTCATGATCCAAGAAGCACCGTTGCTTATTCAGGAGTTAGGAGAATAGGTGTGTGGATGGTGGTGAAAACTGGAGAAATAGAAAGGGTGCTGTCATAGAAGTCTATACTTACCATGGAAAGAAATGTGTTAATTCCTTTAAAGGGTATGAAATGTCATTTAATATTATTAAATAAAAGGAAATATGACCTGCATTTAAAAAGTCAGCTTCCCCACCTGAATCAAATTTTGAAGGTGCTGAATTTATCATCCCCAGAAATTTCTGCCAGAAGTGTTTAACCTGCTAATGCAGGGATCTGCCTTCATAAGTAGATCACGCTGACTTGTAGGAATTCCATGGGTAAACCCCATGGTCTAGTGGATCTCTTGGTAGAGCTAGATCCAACAGGCAGTTAGATTTAAAATGACATAATATTGAATTTTTATTATTAAAAAGCATATTAGGGCAATATGAGGGTAGGGTTTCAAAAATTCATGGAAAAATTCCATTATCTTTCCATTTCAATTTTGAAGCTCCATTGTATAATATCTCAATATATCGAATGGCCTCGGGCAGATTATTTTTATTTTTAAATCATTTTATTAGAGGCTTGCACAGCTCTTATCACAATCCATACATCCATCATGTCAAGCACATTTGTACATTTGTTGCCATCATTTTCAAAACATTTGCTTACTACTTGAGCCTTTCCTATCAGCTCCTCATTTTTTCTCCCTCCCTCCCTACCCCACCCTCCATCCCTCATGAATCCTTAATAATTTATAAATTATTATTATTTTTTCATGTCATACACTGACCGATGTCTCCCGTCACCCACTTTTTTGTTGTCCATCCCCCTGGGAGGGGGTTATATGTAGATCATTTTGATTGGTTTGCCCTTTCTACCCCACCTTCCCCTTACCCTACTGGTATCGCTACTCTCATTATTGGTCCTGAGGCGTTTACCTGTTCTGGATTCCCTGTGTTTCCAGATCTTATCTGTACCCATGTACATGCTCTGATTTGTAAGATAGAATTGGGGTCATGATAGTGGTGGGGGGCGGGGAAGCATTAAAGAACTAGAGGAAAGTTGTATATTTCATCAGCGCTATACTGTACCCTGACTGGCTCATCTCTTCCTTGTGACCCTTCTGTAAGGGGATGCTCAATTGTCTACAGTGGGCTTTGGGTCTCCACTCTGCACTCACTCTTATTCACATTTATATGAATTTTTGTTCTGAGTCTTTGATGCCTGATACTTGATCCCATCGACACCTCATGATCACCAGGCTGGTGTGCTTCTTCCATGGGGATTTTGTTGCTTCTCAGTTAGATGGCCACTTGTTTATCTTCAAGCCTTAAAGACCCCAGGTGTGGTATCTTCTGATAACCATGCACCATCAGCTTTCTTCACATTTTCTTATGCACCCATTTTGTCTTCAGCGATCTTGTCAGGAAGGTGAGCATCATGGAATGCCAGGTTTTGAGAACAAAATTTTCTTACGTTGAGAGAGTACTTGAGTAGCGGCCCAATGTCTGTCTGCTACCTTAATACTTAACATATAAACATAAATACATAGATCTATTTCCCTATCATTATATATAAATATATTTACATATGTACATTTAGACCTCTATAAATGTCCTTTGCCTCCTAATTCTTTTCTTTATTTCCTTTTACTTTCTTCTTGTCCCACTTTGTTTGACCTTCATTCAGGTTTCATTAATTCTTCTCTGCTATATTGCCCTTGATCAAGCCCCACCAGGCATCCTATGCCCTCCTCATCATCAATGTTAGATCACTTGTTGTTCCCTTGTCCCTGGGTTTGTTGATGACCCCCCATCCTTTCCCCCGCCTCCTGTTCTCCCGTCTGCCCCCACCCCCCATTGAACCGTTGGTCCCGTTTTTTTTTTCTTCTCCAGATTGTTTATCTTGCCTATTTTATCTAGATAGACATGCAGAGACAATAACAAGTACACACACAAAAGACAGAACAAAACAAAGCAACAAAAGAAGACAAACAACAACCAAAAAACTGACGACAAAAAAAAGAAAAGCCTATAAATAGTTCCAGGTCTGTTTTTTGACCTTTAGGAGTGCTTTCTGGTCAAGTTTGATGGGGTGCCATGCCCTGGCCCCAAAGTCTATTTTTGGTATTCCTCGGAGACTTCATTGCTTTGGTCCTGTTGCTTCTCTGTTACATACCCCTAGAGTTTCCCCCTGGTGCGGTGGGGTCAGATTGGGCACAATTCCCGCACAGTGATGGACAGATTATTTTAGCAACCACTGTATTCCATTTCCTTATTTATAAAATGTAGATCTACATCTATGACTCTATATTGTGTTTCATGTCTAAATATATATATATATATATATATGAAAAACACCTCCAGATCAGTATCCCTTCCAATGTATACAAGAGAAAACTGGGGCTTTGTGGGCACAGAAGGGACATGATTTGTCTGTGGATGCATGTCGAATAAATGGCAGAGCTGACTAGAGTTTAGGATCCTCGCCTCCCATGTCTTTCCACTTCTGGGGACATTTGTAACTTCCCAAGACAAAGACTTAGCTTAGGTTGATTTAGGGTGTTTATTTCAGGTCCGAGACTCTGAGTTACATGAACCATTCAACTGAAAATTTCATCTCCCCTTTCCACACATTGCTGCTCTCAGGAGAGGAAGATAAGAATAGAGGATAGTTCAATGAGACACTGGACCATGTAGGGCCAAGACAGCATAAAAAAGGGCATCACTCTAATAATATAATGCTGATTGATAACCAGAGGGAAGTATAGTCTCTGATTATTCTACACAGGAACGTATGCTAACGATGAGGAAAGTTTCTGAGTTTGCTGAATTCATCCTTTCTCTATGTTCTTGCTCACAACCACCCTCATGAAGCTTTTCAAAAGAGACATCCCACTTTTTCATTACTATCTGTGGGTGTGGTATACTCAAAGCTTGCAGGAAGGAGGCAGGTGACAACCAGGGCCTATGGGTTAGTATCTGCTATCTTTTGAGAATGGAGCCCCTCAATGGTTTTGGTTCCCGAGGAGAGGATGGAGGACATCAGTTGTGTAACTACCAGGTTTCCCCTGTTAACCATCTCCCGGAAAGAGATATACAAATGTTTACCTTACATTTTCTTTAGACTTGGCTTTCTTCATTTTAAATCTAGCCTTTTCTTTCTTGAAGAATTGTTGAAGTCTTTTAATTGTTTCATGTCCATCTAAACTAAGAGGAATCAGAGGACATAAATAACAAAGTTTGAGAGCGCCCTAGCAATCGAAAGGCTCTTGTAATAAAGCTGATAGAGGCTTTGATATCATTTCCAAAACACATCCTCTCCAGGCAGGGCAAGGGCATGCCTTATCAATGTCTGTTCTTTGTTTAGAGTCTGAGAAGAGGTAGCAAACAGAGTCCGCTATTAAGGGAATAATTCTATTTCGATACAACGTGCATCTCCCTCAAGTGGTCTCAGTGCTGTACATCTTGGTCAGAAGAAAGCTGAGACTTTCTGTTCCCATAAAGATCTGAAGTCTTGGAAACCCAAAGGGGCAATTCTATCTTGTCCTATTGGGTCGTTATGAGTCAGAATCGATTTGATGGCAGCAATTTTTTTTAATGGACCAGTGTTCCCTTTAGTAGAGAAAATAAAGATAACTCAGGACAGCATAGTTTACAAATTGTACAACAAATTCATTGTTGGAATTTATGTCTTCTGGAATTCACACGATTGATTTTTGATTGTTTGATTGATGAGTCAACACTAGGGATACACAGACAGCCTGACTGATGATCACAACTCTTCTCAATATGCCAGCCTGGGGCAACTAGCTCACGGTCCTCTCTTTCCCCCGAACTCTCAAACCTTTCCTTTGTGACCAGGCTTATTTTCCTTCTCACAACTCTGTCTTTCATAACTAACTGTCCCCAAACAAATTCACTGCCATCGCGTCGACTTTTGACAAATACACCCTATTTGAGTCAATCTTCATGGTTGGTGACATTGAATTCCTGGGTATTCGGTTAAGTCCAAAGTCTAGACACAGTTTGGTTAACTTGCATGCACAGTTACGTCGTGAACACTGACTTGTTCTTGGAGAAGCACTGTTGAAGCTGAAGCAAACTCTATTGATAATCTTTATTTTCCCTCCTCATTTGTTTAACACATTATCAATGTCCTTTACGCTGGGAAATGGAAATGCTCCCAAAGATAAAGTTTGGCTTTAAAATAAAACATGGCTGAAAATTTACTACATATATTGTAATTATAATTACCCAATTATAAGTATACTATATATAACAATGTAGTAGTACCACAGCCCATGCTAGGCTCCCAAATCATACCTAAGGATGGAGGGGAGGTGGTTACAGGTCATTTCTTAAATGCTGGTTTTCCTAGACTAACAAGAAATACCATGAGCCTACCAAAGCATGAAAGAGACTCACTCTGTCTTTGAGTAGGTTTTTTTTGTTTTATAGACATCTTCATATGTTTCTTCACTAGATTCTTCTGAAAAAAAAATCATTTGTTATGTAATGACAAGAGTTTAGATTAATATTTAACACAGATTATTAGATACTTACCAAGTGCCCATTCATGTATTAACTAGATTTTATTGAAATATAAGCCCATATTTTTATAAGCAAGAAGTAAGTTTCTCTAAAGATTCCCTCCACTCTTCACATATTTAATATGTCATTATCAGAGTTTACGCTGAATGTGGAGGGAATAATAGAGAGCCAGACATATCTGGAATAATCTCTCCCTTCTTAGCTTGAGCCATCACACAGGTTTAATATACATCCACAGAGATGGTTTTAGTCTACTTTGGCAATGGGAACGTCATGGAATGAAGAATGGAATCAGTGTGTCAGGCTTTTCAAGTTCAAAACTTGGCTGTAACATTCGGTCAGCCTAGGGTTTTCTGCTTCTGTTTCCTTTTTCAAACAAGTGTACTGGGTTCAAGGAATGCTAAGGATATTTTAGTACCTAAAATGTTGGGATTCTAAGCAGAACAAATGCATCTAGAAGTAGCATTGTCCAGCCAGGCATCCTCTTCTATTTTTTCATTTATTCATTCAATAAATATTTGTTTTGGAATTTATGCCAGAAGCCAGGAAAAATGGTCAGCACAAAGAAGGTTATGTGTCAGGAAGGGCAGCTACAGAGCTAAATTTAAAAATAACAACTATGACAAATGATAGGGAAAGAGGCACCCAGGGCTATGAGATTGTGCACTAAGAACAGTCCCTGGAGGAATGATTGCGCTGGGGTTAGAAGAAGGATTGAGTCACTTAGACACAGAAGGTGGAGGGAGGGAAGAGCACTCCAAGAAGGAATACAGGGTGAAAGATCTTCTGGGCTAAACCAGCTGTTCGAAACCACCAGCCACCAAGTGGGAGAAAGGTGAGGCTTTCTACTCCTGTGAAGATGGATGGTCTGGGAAACCCACGTGGGCAGTTCTACTCTGTCCTATAAGGTCACTTTGGGTTGGAAATGGCTCACTGGAGTCGTGAGTTCAGAGTTTATAAAACTCTCAGTGCATTTGGAGTCGATAAAACCCGGTGATACTGTGGGTGAGGCAGTAGGTGGCTAACCCCTGATAGGTGGTACAAACGCATCAGCTGCTCTGTGGGAGAAAGATGGGCTGTCTGTTCTCCTCAAGATTCTCTGGGTTGTTATGAGTTGGGATAGACTTGATGGCAGTGGGTTTGGTTTGGGGCTTATATAGGGAGATCAGCACATCGGAGGGACTAAAAGGTGGGTGGTGGAGACAAAGCAGAAGTCCGAGTATAATGTGAGCTGAGCTTCTCAGGGAGGCCCACTCAAGACCTTGTAGTAGTGTCAGATTACCTAACAAGCAAGGCAAGCGCAGGCTTACTGGTGTTGCCTTACCAATCTTGGTGAATAATTTCACATTTTCCCACCACATCAAAGACCTTGCATCTAGGTTTGACTGGCATCTCTCTCCCAACCCCACAGCATTTTCCTACAGAATCACGGCTTCTTTTCAAATTTAGGATCTCTGACAGGGATGTAAGTAAGTAAGGTATGCCTGAGCTTGCTTGTGCTTACTTACTACTCTTACATGCTTTTCACATCAGCCTCTGTTCAGTTTGTTTCTTGGTACTCTGCCTCTGCTTCTGTGGAGGCCTGCCGGTACTGCGGGCTAAAGGTTGGACCACCAGTTCAGAGGTTCACACCACTAGCGGCTCCACAGGAGAACGTTGCAGCTGTCTGTTCCCATATAGTTTTGGAGCGTCAGAACCTGATCCCGTGCTGCTCTGAGTCAGAAGGGACCCAAGGGCAGGGGGTGGGGTTTGCCTCTGCTTCCAGGTCATAGGAAAATAAATGTTTAAGGCATGGGGGCTCCCCGAAAGTGTTTTAAGAAAAACATGCACATAATCAGACTTGCATTGTGAAAGAGCTCAAGATGAAAGCATTTTTATATGGAAGTTACTTTGACCGAGAACCCCATGACCTTCACCTTCACCCTCCCAATTCTAGCTGCATTCATTCACACATACCTTGAGACTCCTTTCTTAGTTATGAGAGCCACCCCCTGCCAATTGGGAATCATTAAAAATATGTATAAATAAAAGACAGCTTATCACTGGGAAGTCTGTAAGAATTAATGGCAACAGAGGCAAATACTTTTGGATAGACATGTAGGCTGCATAAGTGTAAGAGAGGGAGCGGGGGCACACTCATGAATATATAGAGACTTGACAGAGGTTATTGCGTATGTATGATTACCTTTCCTGCAAATAGGTGCCTGGGTGTGGCAGAGCAGAGCCCTGGTGGTGGAGTGGGCTAAGCCTTGGAGTAACTGAAAGGTCAGCAGTTCAAAACACCACCAGTTATTCCATGGCGACAAGAGGAAGCTTTAGGGTCCTGTAAAAATGTAAAGTCTTGGAAACCCGAAGAAGGCAGTTCTAATCTGTCCTGCGGGCCGGCTCTGAGTCCCTACGGCAGTGAGTTGTTGAGTGGTGGCGCACACAGGCAGCCTTGTTATGAAAACTTATTAGACATAACCAAACGCCTTGAGGGAATGAGCACTCGGTTTGGGGGGCACCAAGGTTGATTGGCATAACACAGTTGACAAGCACCATGTTCTACACCCTATTGTGGCGAGTAGTGACAAGTCTTAAAAGCTTGTGAGCAACTAAAATGCACCTATTGCTTTCTATTCTTGTGGAGGCAAGCAGAATGATGGAATCCAAAGACATACAGAAACAAATAGTCCAACAGACTACGTAAAAACACCAGTCTCTGCACCTCTGCGATCAGAAGAACTGCGTGGTACCAGCAAACGATGCCAACCGCTCTGAAAAGGGTTACTTTAGAAGGTTCCAGATAGAGTGGGAGACAAATGTGCAAACCCCAAACCATAAAAGAGACCAAGTCAGCCTCAGATAGAGGCTGGTGGGACCCCCAAGACTAAGTCTCTTAGGTGAACTTATTCCCATGCTAGAAGAAGCAATCACTTAAGATCATCAGAGCTGCTCTGATCCGAGGACACAGGCTAGAGGGTTAGGGAAGGAGGAGAAACGGAAACACACAGAGGGAGGAGTGAGCCAAGCGGTGGTCCAGGGAGGGGATTGTACTGGATGAGCTGAAACAAAACGTGTATGAAATATGGACCGTCAGCCTGATCATCTGCTTTGTGAAAACCACCTAATTCACAATAACAAATTGGGGGGGAAATTAAAGAAAGACAGCTTATCACTGACCATCCAGAGAGGTACTCAGAATCCCCAATGGTATCGGAAAGCCGGATGTTCTTGTACACTTACCACTGTCTGAAGTAAATGAGTTTGAGGAGAATGACTTTGTTCTACGAGGAGAAGAGACACAGACACCATCACCTTGTTGAATTGTGCTTCAAATCTCATCAGGGCTTGCCAAGGGGTGGGGCTCACTTACCTCTCTCGTTCAGGGGATGCGACATCATCATACATCTGCTCTGTGGTGGAATTTGCCTTAATGGCCCCCTTCTTAGGGGTTTCTTTAGTCACCTGCAGGGCCTCCACATACCCACCTGTAAGAGAAACAGTACGCTCATCCTGAAGGACTTCTCGTCCGCTGCTATCACGAATGTATTGCTATCTGTCACCAGCGATGCCAGCAAGAATGGGTTAGAAAAAGCACACCCATGTGATTCTTCCTTTCCACATCAGCTCTTGGTATAATTGTACACGCTAACTTTCGAAACCTTTCACTTTGTTTCCATCAGGAGAATCATTCAGATTCAGATATTTTTTGAGACCAAAGTCTGACTACAGCATTCTTACATTCCTTCACGCGACAAAATTCCCTTGGTCACCTGTGGCGTGCCAGACCCACCCGGGAGTTGAGAAAATGAGACGGCATCCCTGCTCTTGTTTGTGTCCCTGGCTCTCACCATGGTGTGACTTTCTGTTAGGTGAACCGCCAACTCTGGTTATGATTACTATTTTAATGTTTGCTTAACGTGCTAAGGTTTCTTTACTATTACTGGCCAGCAAGAACCTTGACGAACAGGAAACTAAAAATGCAACCCGAATGAAGTCAGCAATTGGTACCCTACTGTCTCCATCTCTTAGTGTCGCCATTAAGAGAAAGACCACACATATTAAACCAATCACCTTTGAGGTAGAAACCCCACTAATCAGGCACAGAGAAGGAAGCAGAGTTGGGGGAAGAATGGGGGAAGAGAGATACCAGGTCACATGAAGATCATCAAGGGATCAAGGGACAGAAGCTAAAAAATGAACCAGTGTTGTCATGTGCCATTGAGCCTGTTTTGACCCATAGCGACCCTATGCACAACAGCACCAAACACTGCAGGTCCCACACCATGTTCACGATTGTTCCTGTGCTGGAGCCCATTGTTGTAACCACTGTGTCAACCCATGGAAGGCCTCTATTTTATCAAGGATGTCCTTCTCCAGGGATTGGTCTCTCCTGATAACATGCCCAAAGTCTGTAAACAGGCATCAACCAAGAGGAATTTTTCTTCTCAGTTTCCCAAACAATAAGCCAAACCACCAGCCATCGAGGTGATTATGACCCTGTAGGACAGAGTAGAACTGCCCACGACGTATACAAGGCTGTGCATCTTTGCCGAAGCCGACTCTCACACCTTTTACCTGTCCAGTGTCTGGGAGGTTCAGATCCCACCGTGAGCAGCTGAGCACTTTAAACTCTGTATCACCAGGGCCCCTTTCTCACAGTTTCAGAGGCTAGGTGTCTGAATTCAAGGGGTCAGTGCCAGAGGCAGGTTTTCTCTCTGTCATCCTTGGAGAAAGGGCCTTGTCTCTTTTTAGCTTCTGTCCCTCAGTCCCTTGGTGATCTTCATGTGACCTGGTATCTGTCTGCCCCCATCTCTGCTTCCTTCTCTGTGCCTGATCAGTGTGGATCACATCTCAAAGGTGAATGGTTGGTGACACACTCTCCACTATTATGGCCTCATTTATGTAGGAAGGAAACCCTGATTCTCAAAAGGGATTACAAGTATAGAGGTTAGGACTTTCTAACACATATTTTGGGGGAACACATTCAATCTATAATACATACCATACCACTGGTGTATCAATGACATGGGCTCTCAAAAGGCAAACAGGAGCTAGTTTGCAGTCAGGTTTGGCCCTCATAGAACCCCATGAGGTCCGTATGATGATTACCTTTTAGAAATGGAGTGATTGAGCTGCAGAACTATGAAATTCTTTCTACATAGCTAATAAGACTGAAAACTTGGACTTGAACTCAAATCTTCTTCTAAATCCAGAACCCATTCCATTAAAAGGGTCCTGCTTCATCGGAGTATGTTACTGGGTACATGATGACATTCAATAAATACTTAAAAAATAAGTGAGAGCTTTGTCAAGCTCAACTTTAAAGCAATTAGGTAATGGTGAAGAACACTGAGGTGGTGGATGCAACTTACAGTGGCCCTGGGCGTGCCTGGCCAGTGCTGGGTCTTCAGAGCAGGCCTTTGTTTGGATGAAGTCAACCACAGAGTCCTGCTTCCTGGCCAGTATGCTCCTCCTCCCTCGGTGGACCTTCATCAGCTGGAGTTTTCCTCGTGTCTCTTCCTTGTTCTCCATCTGAACACATTAACAGGGAAGGTACCGCGGGGCTCTGACCTGCCCATTCAGTTCTTAGCTCACTTGTGCCGGTCTATATTCATTTCTTCTTTGTGAATCCCGTATTATTTATTAAAGACTAGCTTGTCTCACTAGACTCCACATTTCAGAAGGCCACTTGCCAAGTCTATTCTGTTGGTCAACTCTGAATGGCCAATGAGTGTCTAGCACAGAGGTCAGCCCCCAGGAGGCAGTCAGGAAATGGTGGAGCATGGACTCAGAGCAGGCTCTGTGCAAATTTTATCTCACTTAACCTTCCCCATCAGAAAGAGGTCATTCTTGTCATTGATAAAGGATCTACCCACCCAAACCTGCTGCCATCAAGCTGATCCTGACGCATAGCTGCTCTAAGGCAGCGTGGAACTGCTCCATAGAGCAACCAAGGCTGTCATCTGGAGGGAAACAGACACACCTGGGCACATCTGTCTCAGCTGAGAGCAGCTGAGGGGTGGGAACCTCGAATCTTTCAGTTAGCAGCCAAACACTGACTCATCGCACCACCGAGGCTCCTTCGTCATTGAGTGGTTGTCATCCGTGTCACGGAGTCGGTTCTGACCCATAAAGACACTATGACAATGGAACAAAGCACTGCCCACAGATGAGGTCACTGAGCCCAAAACCTATGATTCTCTTTTAAGCAGGGTCCAGGTACAGCATCGAGGAAGACACTTATCCCAAGTTCACGATGCACGCATAGTGTTGGCCCAAGATTCAGGGCCTCGCTCGGTTTTGCACCCAGGATACATTGCTTATCTCACCCTAGTTCCAACCCTGCTTCCAACATCTCAAGGCTGAGCTACCACTTTGCTTTATTGTCACATTTGTTTAGTGCCCAATACCCATTTTATCTTCTCCCTTTCTGGAAATCTACCCGTGTCAGGCTCTAAAAGTCCCACATGAACTGATACCAGTACATGTGCAAGGTTCTTGGCAGGCCCAGGTACCAATACCTTGTACTGATGGCTGATGTGGGGACTCTCTTCTGCTTTTGCAGGTTCTGATTTACGTGGGCCATTCTTCTTCGCTTTATCATCACAGTCATGGTCAGGGCTACAACAGGAAGAGAGATCAGGGACAAAGGGGAGCTTAGAGTGTTTAGATGACGGTGCACCGCCCAAGCCTATGTGAAATGAATGGATTGCATGAGATTAGGTGTTGTCAACCTCTTTTATTCATTTAAGATGAAAAGACCAGGATCAAACCAACCTTATGGGTAGCTTTCCTAAACTTCTGCTTGCTCCAGTCAATGCCAGCATGTCAATTTCTCCTTAAAATCTTCTAATAACTCTCCATTTTCTGTAGGCTCTGAAGACTGACCATGACCTACCTCCTCACTTCCTTTGCATTTCAATCCTCCTCTGTTCTTTCTTGTGACGTCTGCTCTTCTCTGTTATTGTGAGCTGCCACTGTGACACCCTGGCTCGAGGTAACTCTGTGTGGAGCAGAATGGAACCGTGCCTGGTTCTTGCCATGTTCATGATCATTGGTATATTTGGATCCACTGTTGTGACTGTTGCACCAATCCATCTCCCTGAGGGATGCCTTTGTTGTTGCTGGATCTGACTTTACTAAACCTGATGTCCCTTTTAGAGACTGGTCTTTCTTGAGGACATGTCTAAAGTAAGAGGGCTGAAGTCTTGCCATTCTCACTTCTAAGGAACATTTTGGCTTTATTTCTTCTACTATGGATTTGTTTTTTCTTTTGGTCGTCCATGCGGTAGTCACTACTAAATGCGCTAGTCTAGACTCTCACCATTCCTCATCCTGTTTTGAGTAACTCTCGCTTTTTATGTGCTGCATCCTTTGTCAGACATGCTCTTCATCGATGCAAACACAACACTTTTTGATTTGTCCAAATCATTTTATTCCTGAGAATAAATACATCTCTATATGTACTAAGCAGAGTCAGTCATATCTTCATCTCTGCTCCCAGAATGCTTTATCTATGTTGAGTTATAATAAATCTCTCTGGTTCCTGTTTGGGGCCACACCAACAACCTAAACTTCAGCTATCACAAAGCTGAATGCTCTCATTAGTCTGTGAAGGGAGAAGTCCGAGCTGCAATGAAAGCACTGGCAAAAACCAAGGGTCCAGGAGCTGATGAAATATACTTAGATGCTTTCGCAAATGGATGCGATGCTAGAGGCACTCATTCACCCTTCCCAAGAAACTTGGAAGACATCTACCTGGCCAACTGACTGGAAGAGATCCATATTTGCGCCCATTCCAAGGAAAGGAGGACATTTTTGAACAAGATCATTAACACCAGACACAAGTAAAGTTTTGATGAAGGTAATTAAAAAATGGTTGCAGCAGTATATCAAAAGCAAACTACCAGAAATCCAAGCCAGATTGTGAGGTGGGTATGGAAAGAAGGATGGTATTACTGAGGTCCAGAGATATGATTGAAAGCAGAAAATAATTGAAAGATGTTAACCTGGGTGTTAAGCTAATGAATTGTGTGGATCATAACTAATTATGGATAAGATTATGAAGAATGAGAACTCTACAACACCCAATTGTGCTCATGACAATCTATACATAGACCAAGGAGCAGTTGTTTGAACCACAAAAAAGGGATACTGCGTGGTTTCAAATCAGGAACGCGTGTGTCAGTGTAGGGAGTATCAGGAATGCAGTAGGTGAAAGGGTAGTTTCTGCTTTGAACTCATTTTGTTTCTCTCTTTACACACAACTGAGTCTAAATCTGTGTTTTATACAATGACAGCTGTCCCCATGTGGTTAGTGAAGACTTCATATGTGGTTGGTCCCAATTGAGAGGACCTATAAGTATAAAATACATCTACGTGGATACTCATTCACCAAATGTACTCAATCTGACAAGCTGGACTAGATAAAAGAAGAAGGTGACATCAGCATTGGAGAAGACTCCTTAATAGCCTGTGATAAGCAGAAGACACAAACTTGCTGGCTGAAAGCAAAGAGGATCTGAAGTGATTATTGATGAAGATCAAAGACTACAACCTTCAGAATGGATCACAACTCAATCTAAAGAACACAAAAGCCCTCACAATTAGACCAATAGACAACATCTTGATGATTATAGGAAAAAATTAAAGTTGTCTAGGATGATTTCATCTTATTTGTAGCCACAATCAACTCGTGGAAGCAGAAGTTAAGAAATCAAATGACATCCCAGTAAACAAATCTGCAGCCAAAGACCTTTTTAAAATGTTAAAGAGCAAAGATGTCACTTTGAGGACTGAGGTGCACTTGACCTAAGCCAAGGCACTTAAAATTCTCTAATAGGCATATGAACATTTGAAAATATATCATGAAGCTTGAAGAAGAATTGACACGTTTGAATTATGGTGCTGATAAAGAATATTGAATCTTCTTCCAGAAGAACGAACAGCTTTGTCTTCAAAGAAGTATAGCCAGAATGTTCCTTAGAAGTGAGGATGGTGAGACTTTGCCTCAAGTGCTTTGAACATGGTGTCAACAGCGAGGAGTCCCTTGAGAAGGACAACATGCTTGAGTGACAAAGAGGAATGCTGCCCACAGAATGCACGGGTCGAGTAACTGCAACCATGGGCTCGAACCCCTCCGTGGTGGTGAGCCTGGTGCAGGACCAGGCGTTTCATTCTCTTCTACGAGCGATTGCTCTGAGTTGGAACAAACAGCAAGTAACGAAAAAAGAATGTCAAATACGCATTTAATAGCTTTTTAAAATCGACTACAAAGTGATAGCATTTTGGATATATTGGGTAAAGTCAATGATTAAAATGAATTTCACCTCTTTGTTTTTACTTCAAACAATATGAGTCTAAAATTACTTTGTAGTTAGTATTAGATTTCTGTTGGGCAAGGCGAGCCTGAATGGTTAAGGAGGGAGTTCAGTGCCCTTCTGAATGTGCTCTGCCCACATGCCCGGTTTCACTCCTTGCTCCTCCCACACTGCAGGCAAGGGTTCATAGAAGTTGGCCAGACAATACAATGGCAGGAATTAATGAATTTAATCAGCGCAAGCGGTATCAAACCATCTGTAAGTCTTGCACATGCCTTACTGTCTGACACTTTGTATCTTGGCTCACACCTGCCTCTGTGCCCAGACCACACTTTCCACCATTTCCCCCTCATCAATCCCTGTACATCATTCATGACTGAGCTCGGCCATCGCCTCCTCAAGGAAGTACATCTGGAAGGTCTGGGATTTATACCCCATCTCCATGTTATATAATGCCCAGAGTAGTGTTTGTGTTACACTGTAATGTTCTCTTTATTAAGAGGCCCTGGCCACCCTAGCCTCCACTCCCATCTTTTCCCCAAGGATGTAGAATTTCATTTTGTATCTCCAGAATTGAGCAGTATGTGACTGAATGAATCCACCCAAACCTACTGTTACTGAGTTGATTCTAATTCATAGTGACCCTATAGATAGTTTCCAAGGCTGAAAATCCCGACAGGCATCAACAACCTCATTTTTCTCCCTAGGAGCAGCTGGTAGGTTTGAACTGCTAACTTTGTTGTAAGTAGTCTAATGCTTACCAGACAGTGCCAACAGGGCTCCTTGTACAGAATCGAAAGCTGGTAGATCTTGAACTAACTGACTATGCATTGGATGTGAGCTTACCGTGTGCCCATCACTTAGCTAGGTGTATGTGTGGGGGGGAAGGGGGAGCTGGGTGGCATGGGGACGGGGAGAGCCAATGTTCTGAAATTTAGGTAGGAACATGAAGAAAGAAAAGAAAGTTAAATCTGTGGAAGTACATTTTCTTTTCCTTTTTATTTTTTCAAACTTTTTATTTTTAAAAATGGAAGTATATTTTCTATTACCATCCAGTGTTTTAAACCTCAACAAGGAAATTTTGATACTTGCTTCTTTAGAGCTCACCAGCAATATTTATTTTACTACGATAAGCCCAACTATGGGAGCCCTGGTGGCGCAGTGGTTATGCAATGGGCTGTGCTCTGCAGGTTCTGCAGTTCGAAACCACCAGCCGCTCTGCAGGAGAAAGACAGGACTTCTTCTCCTGTAAACAGTTACAGTCTTAGAACCTCACAGGGGCAGTTGGACCCTGTCCTAGAGGGTCACTATGAGTCGGCATCCATTTGCCGGCAGTGGACTTGGTTAGGTTTTGGAAGTGCAACTATAGCAGAGAAGTTATAAAAGTGGACCCCAAAGAGGCAGATAAAAACACTCCTATGTGCCAGGGCACTGCTCTATACTCAGGAAGCTCAAGGAAAACAAAAATTGAAAACACTGTCATCAAGTCGATTCTGCCCTGAGGGCAGACTCATAGCAATCCTACATAGGGCATCCCAGACTGTACATCTTTATGACAACAGACAGCCTCATCTTTCTCTTGAGGAGCAGCTAGTGGGTTTGAACTTACAACGTTGCAATTAGCAGTCCAAGACTCACTCAACAGCCTCACCAAGCATCCTTAAGGAAGTATGAGATGACAAGGGAATACCAAGAACAATAAAACATGACCCCTGTCTACAAAGAGCTCACAGTCAAGAGGGTAGTGGGGAGAGTAAGGAAGAAATGACATGCAGTGACATTAGTGCCAACATATGTTTGTACCTTACAGTGGCTCCACAGAGCCTGGTTACCTCTCCCTTAACCTGACTGTCAAGGAGGGCAGTCAAGGAAGGCTTCTTAGAACAGGGACAATGGAAGGATCAGTAGAGGTTTGTCAGCCCAGTGAGTGGGTACAGATTGATGGATTAAATGAGCAAAGGCGAAGAAGCATGAACCTGGGAGTCCTTTGGGATTCACCTGGTTGCTATTTGCCTGCTGAGTTGTGCGACGCCCCCTCCCACTCAAGTGTCCTAAGGGCAGGGACTAGGTCTCCCTGGTGTCCATGTCTTGGCATGTGGCAGGAATTCAGAAAGTGTTTGTGACCAGATTGCCTGGTCTGCAGAGACTAGAAGTGCCCTGAGCGGAGTTCCCTGAGACAAACAGTAGAGGCGGAAACAAACCGGAACACCGGGAGGAAGGTGCCTTTCAGAGCCATCAGCTCCACAGGATCCACGAGGCAGCATTTAACCGAAACCGAAGAGGAGGAGGCAGAGAGGGCAGAGAAACAGGAAGAATGGGCTCAGGGACCCCAGGGCAGGAGCCTGGAGAGGGTGGCCCCAAGACGGGGACTGCACCCCGTGTCACGGAGCACTTCTTCGTGGAGAGAATGTGGACTGGAAAACAAAGGTGCTGTATCAAGTTCCACTGAAAGCACGCGAAAGAAATGTGGCTTTTCTTTTTGAACGGACGTGTTGCTAAGTGAGTGGCGTGGGGGCTAGCATGAAGCCCGGCAGGGCCCAGGGCAGACAGAACCGTCATGCACTAGGGATACTAGAAAGCTGATTCTGCCAGTAGAGGGTCCGTGGTTGGATGAACATTTTCCACACCTGAGTTGGTTTTTTTAAAATCATTTTATTGGGGCTCGTACAACTCTTACCAAATCCATATATACATCCATTATGTCAAGCGCATTTGTACATTTGTTGCCCTCATCATTCTCAAAACATTTGCTCTCTACTTGAGACTTTGGTATCAGCTACTCATTTTTCCCCTCCCTTCCCACCCCCTCTCCCTCATGAACCCTTGATAATTTATAAATTATTATTATTTTGTCATATCTTACACTGCCCAACATCTCCCTCCACCCACGTTTCTGTTGTCTGTCCCCCAGGAGGAGGTTATATGTGGATCATTGTAATCAGTTCCCCTTTTCTACTGCACCCACCCTCCACCCTCCTGGTATCGTCACTCTCACCACTGGTCTCACCTGAGTTCCTGATGGTGCAAACTCTTCCGAGGCTGAAAGTAAAGGGGGAAATGGTCATGTTGATCAAAGAACCCCAGTCAGTCCTTTGCTGTTTGGTGGCAGATCATTAGGGTCTAAGCCAAAAGGTGAGGAGACAGAACAAAGGCACACACGGACCGTAGAAAGTTCTAGGGACTGTTGCCAGCAGAACCGAATATATAGACCGGGGGTCCTCAAAGTTTTAAAACAGGGGGCCAGTTCACTGTCCCTCAGGCCATTGGAGGGCCAGACTATAGGTTTAAAAAAAACAAAAACAATGAACAAATTCCTATGCACACTGCACATATCTTATTTTGAAGTTAAAAAACAAACGAGGCAAAAACACCTGGCGGACCAGATACATGTCCTCGGTGGGCCGCATGAGGCCCGCGGGCAGTAGTTTGAGGACCTCTGATGTAGGCTTTCCTGTGTGGGCTGTACTGGTCAAACATTTGATGAACGCCCTACTACTGGCATGGCTGGAGCTGCTTGTCTTTGGTGAGGCCTGCGAATGTTAGCTGGCATTGCTAAATTCCCAGGCCTTCTATGTCTGGCCCCAGGCCCTGCCCAAGGAGCATGTGATCCATGCCCCACCACAGTCCTCAGGGTCAAGACTCTCCAGGTCCTCCAAAGGATGGTGTCAGATCCCACTTCCCATGCCGAAAACTGCCAGGAGGCACAGAAAACAGCTCGAGGGTTAGAAGCTGTAAAAACGAAAACATCATGTTTGGCATTTGAACGGGGTACGATCCTGTCACGCGGACAGTGCCCTGGTGCAGCCCGGTTTAGCACTTGCTGATGAGGCCAGAGTCAGTGGATCAGTTTGATAGGAAGTTTCTGTTCCTCTCCATAGAAATAATAATCCTCCACCGTTGTTTAGCTAGAGAGCATGAGTAATCCTTTCCCTAACAAAATCAGGGGAGGAAGGAAGGAGACCCAGTGAGAAAGGAGTGGAACAGGAACGGACTTAATTAAAAGGACAAAAAGACACAGCAGGTGAGTGCCCACCAGGTGCCAGGTGCTGTACTCCTGGGTCTCTCGGCCATTCAGACTCTACCTGATTTGAGAATCTACTGCTTTCGACACAGAAAGCCCAAGGCTTCCTGCTCTTCTGGAGAACACGCTAGTTTACCAGAGACGCAACTAAGGTTGCGCCGCCACCACTGCCGGCTGCTGTCGAGCTGGGGACCCCAGGTACAGCGGTTTTCGATGGCTGATTTATTGGAAATAGTTCCACAGGCATTTCTTCTAAAGCACCTCAGGGTGCACTGAAACCTCCAGCCTTTCTGTTAGCAGTTGAGGGTGCCCACCATGTTTACCACCTGGGGATTGCAAGCTGAGGTTCAGAGAGGTAAACGGCCCCGTTGCTGGCACTTCCTACTCAACTGTTTACCTGCCTGTATGTTAAGCCCATTCTCCAAATAACCCCAAATGTGGACCGGCTACTTGCCCCATTTAACCAATGAAGGATGGATGCTCTTCGTTCTGCAGGAAGAAAAAGCCCGGACTCTGGTCTTTAATCACACTGTTGCATGGTCTCCATGATAGCACCTCCTGCAGTGCCCAGCAGGGAGAAGGAGCCCCCCCCACCAAAAGGTAAGTGGATCTGACCATTGTCTGAGAGCACAGGATATGCAAATTTAGATTGTGCCCAAGAAACCTTCTCCGGAAAGAGATGGCTAAGACCCAGGAGTGGGTTGGCTGGCTGTGATAAATAAGGGGCAAGACCACGTCCGCCCATTCTCTCATGCATTTCTGCCTCTGACATTGCAGAGGGCAGCGTTCACAATCTTACCATCTTAAGTCGGGAAAAAGGCAGAAAGCAAAAAACCAAGAAGAATATTCCTCTCTCCCAAAGAACGACTTCAGAATTAACTCTGTTTTCCTTGATTTAGTTCTAAAGTTCATAGGAAGAAAGGAAACAATACCTTTTGGAGTTCTTCAATCCGAACTTCATAAGTGGCTAAAATAAATATGGAAAAAAAAAAGGTTATCCCCAGCAATAAACTCACCTAGGATTAAGGTGATTATGAAAGATGGCATTATGTCATTTTCTCGGCCTTCAGAATGGTGCTGTATCGGAGGCTGTATCTCAGTGGTTTGGGAAATTCTCAGCTCCCCGAGCATGGTGTTCATGTCTGTGGGGGATTTCCAGGATGACATTCACCATGGAGGGAGCAACGGTTCCGTGTCCCACTTTGTCGGTAGAGCCCTGATCCAGAAAGAAGAGGAGCAGCAGCAGGGCCAGAAGGGAAATGATACCCAGGTGACGGAAAGCCTCCCCACTTCAACACGATGAACTTCTATCCCACTCAAAGTGATCTTGCCTCCCTGACGTTTTAGTGTTGTTTTAAAATGCTTACTTAAAATAACAGCTCCCCTACCAGGGCTTAAGCACCTTGATCTTCAACTGGCTCAGGATTTGGGCAGTTATGTGATGACATCATTGGTAGTTTCGTAATGATGTCATTCAGCCGACTTCAGTGACTCCACTCTGTGGACTGGTGTGGTCATCCTCCACTTTCACGTAATGTTGGTTTGCCCACAGCAACCTGGTCTTTGGAACCTAACCATGCCAGGAAGTAAGGAGCGTGTGCACTTAAAAGCATCTACTATGTTGTTGTCCTTGTACGTAGCAAGAGCAGGCTACATGGGAAGTAGTTAACAGTCCTTGCGGAGCTCTGGTCGGGTAGTGATATCAACTGCAAGGTCAGCATTTGAAACCACTAGCTCTTCCTCAGGCGAAAGAAGAGGCTTCCTACACCTCTAAAAAGTTGTGGTCTCCGAAAGCCACAGGGGCAGTTCTACCTTGTCTTATTGGGGGTCACTATAGGTCAGAATCAACTCTTGACAGTAAGCTTAGTTTTTTGGTTTGATGCTAAGTGCTAAAGTGCTTTATTTCCATTGAATTTCCATGAGAATCACTATTATAATTCAATTTTATTGATGAGGAAGCAGACACCCAAAGAAATGAAATAACTTGCAAGGTCGCTTAACTAGAAAATGACCTACAAATTTTCTCCCAGGCAGACTCATTCAAAAATAGCACATCCATATAGATAACATGCACACACTTTCAGCGAGGAGCCCAGTGGCGTCATGGTTCTAAGTTGGGCTCACAACTACAAGGTTAGCAGTTTGAAATCACCAGCTGCCCCCCAGGAGAAAGATGAGGTTTTCTGTCCCTGTAACCTAGGGTGAGGCCACAGAAATCCATCAGAGCAGGGCTTCGCTGCCCTATGGGGCTGCTATGTGTTGGATTTGACTTCCTGGCCGTGGATTTTGTTTTGGTTTTACTTTGAATGAGTGGAAAAATCAAAATTCTGGCATGCACATGCCATGTGTGTCTTGTGGCATTTCCTGAAGTAAATTTCAGTCTCATTCACCCCCATTCAGTAGTTCACAATGTTAACTTTTGATCCCATTTATATAATAAAGGTAGAAGCCAGGTTCAAGAAGCCGTGGATTAAGCTTCAGAATTGGAAAGCAAGCAATGAAATTCGGCATTTGCCCCAAGACAGTTCTCAGCTGGGCCTGCGAGCTGGACAGAGGCCAGGCATGGGCTGCATCTGTGGCGGGTGGGAACGGTTGCCTTATATGCCAGGCTCCTTGGTGCTGGGCCCACATGAAGCAAGGTGGCAGCCCCATGAAGGTCAGGGTGGTGAGGGTGTGAGCATGTACTTCCTCGGCCTGTGGGGTCCCTAAGCAGCCACTTGGACACATCCTCTGAGCGAGGAACATAGGACCGCTCACTCTACATCAGTGGCTCTCACACCTCTCTATGGCGTCCACAGTGGTGGTTGTACCAGCATGCTTATGCAAACAACACATAGGGCAGGGGGTTTGTGTGGTATCTGAATGCATAACGCACAGGCTGTTTGTGCAAAAACACGGTGTTACCCTAGGAGCTGTTCAGTACTTCTGTGCTTGGAGTTAGTCCTGAGGCTCTTCAAGACCACACAGGAAAGCTCTGGGGTTCAGGATGAACCACCAGAAAACCAGTGCACCTGACCTCAGAGGGCCATTCTACAGAGCCTCCAGAATGTCTGAGTCCTATTTACCCTCCACCAAGCGCTGTGTACAAGGGTGGAGCCTTAGAGAAGCACACAGGTTGAGCTGTGTCGGCCTGAGGGACTGGGCTTCCTTGTTGCCTTGCCACCGATCAAGCAAGACATCCAAGAGTGAAAGCCAAGGCCACCCACTCCCTTTTCTCTTCTGTGCCTTTGTCTTTCCTTCTCTGAGAGCTATCATTTAGATTCCTCTTCCTTGCTGGGCAGAGGAAGGAAGGAAGGGCTGTAGTCTTGCTTTTACTTCCACCCCCTCTCCAATCCTTCTTAAACAAAATTAAACTTTTTATTTTGAGATAATTACATAATCATATATATATAGTTGTAAGACATATAGAGGGAAATCCTGTGTGTGCTTACTCAGTTTTCTCTAATGGTAACTTGTTGCAAGCTCTAAGTCAATATCACAACCAGGATCTTGCCAGAAGCATTCAGGGTATAGAACATCCCCATCCCCTAAGGGTCCCTCACACTCTCTTTTATAGAAACACCTACTCTCTTCGTGCACCTCCTTCCCATTGCCATTAATGCCTTATAACCACTAATCTAGTCTCTAGTTCTATCATGTTGTAATTTCAGGAATGATGTATAAATGGAGCCCTGTTGGAGCCCAGGTGCTGCAGTAGTTATGTGTTGGGCTCCTAATAGAGAAGTCAGCAGTTCAAAACCACCAGCTCCTCCACGGAAGAAAGACGAGACTGCTATGCCTGTAAAAAAGGTACAGACAGGCTCAGAACCCAGAGGCAGTGCTACCCTACCTTACAGGGTAGTTATGAACCGAAATCGGTTCGATGGCGTGAGTTTTATTTTTTAATTTTTAATACATAAATGGCATCTTGCAGCATGCAGTCTTTTTAGATTAGCTTCCACCCCCCAGCCCCCACCCCAAGAGTATAACCCTCTGGAGATTCTTCTGACTTTTGTATGTGGCAGTGTTTTGTTTTGTTCCTTTCCACGGCAGGGACGTGCCATAACTGTTAAAGAAGACATGGGATGTTTCCAGTGTGGGGCTGTTAGGAATACAGTGTTTCCCTGGAACAAATGCCAGGTGTGCTGTTGCTGGATCACATGTACTTATTTGCCCTATGTATATCCTCGTAAGGCCCTGGTGGCATAGCAGCTATGAGTTAGGCTGCTAACTGCAAGGTCAGCAGTTAGACCCCACCAGCCAAACCCAGGGGATAAGGCAGGGCTTTCTACCCCCATGAAGAATTCCAGTCTTGGAAACTCGGAGGAGCAGTACTGCCTGTCCTGTCAGGTCACAGTCAGTTGGCATTGACTTGAAGGCAGTGAGATCGCTCTGTTGTTTATAGCCTCTCAGTTGGGCATGCCTGTGGCTCATTTTTTTTAAAACATTTTATTAGGGGCTCATACAACTGTTATCAAAATCCATACACACATCAATTGTGTAAAGCGCATTTGTACATCATTCTCAAAACATTTTCTCTCCACTTAAACCCCCGACATTAGGTCCTCGTTTTTCCCCTCCCTCCCCGCTGCCTTCATGAGCCCTTGATAGTTTATAAATGGGTATTTTGTCATAACTTGCTCTGTCGGACGTCTCCCTTCACCCACTTTTCTGTTGTCCGTCCCCCAGGGAGGAGGTCACATATAGTTCCTTGTAATCGGTTCCCTCTTTCCTACCCATTCTCCCTTTACCCTCCCTGTTTCGCCACTCACACCACTGGTCCTGTAGGGCTCATCCGCCCTGGATTCCCTGTATTTTCAGTTCCTATTTGTACCATTTTTAAATGGAGTTGTTTGACTTTCTACTACTATTTTTTTTTTTAGAACTAAGTGTTCTTGTATGTAGGGAGGGTATGAGCAGAGGCCTGAAGTCCATCCCCTATCTCAGTGTATTGCCGTATAAATATATGTACATGGGCCAATACCTCTATTTTGTGCATTAATGTATTTACATATGTGCACTGCTGTTGATACCTCCATCCATTGCTTTGCTTCCTTTGACCTTCCTCTGTTTCCTTTGACCTTCCTCCTGCCCCACGGCCACTTTCCCCTTATGTCTACCTCTTGGTACCTCCTCTTAACTAGTTTGCTGTTGCTCCCACAGCCCCCACCCCCCAGAGCCTCGGATCCCTAGCTCCTCCTTGTTATTGACTCCAACACCCCAGTTGTTCCCTGTCCATGGTGCAGCCTGCTCACCTCTCCCTTCCCCCACCGCCCTCACCTCCCAGGTCTCCCCGGGACTGTTGGTCCCCCTGCTCTCTCCTCGGGCATGCTTCCCATGCCTATCCTATATACAGGTAGGTACACCAACTATGACAGCCTAAAGTGATTAAAAAAAATGAAAACAGTAAATAAATATGAAAAAAATTTGTTAATTTTCTTTTTAGATTTCTTACATATTCTAGATACTAGCCCTTGTTAAATATGAGAGTTTCAAATATTTCCCCCCACTCTGTAGCTTGGCCTTCCTCAGGAAGAAAACAGACAAAGCTATTTGCTCCAGGAAAGATGTACTGCCTTGGAAACCCGGGGGGCAGTTCTGTCCTCTAGGAGCACTGAGTCAGAATTAGAATTGGGGTGTGTGGGCTGTGGGGGTGTGGCCTATTCATTCTTGCAGCGGAGTTTGTTTTTCTTTCTACAGAACAAAAGTTTTAATATTAATGAAGTCCAATCTATCAATTTTTTGTTTTAGGGATTTGGCTATTTGGTGTCAAGTCTGAAAACACGTGGACTAGCCTGACATCCCGAATATTCTCACCTGCGCTTTTTAGTTTTGTTGGTAAACATTTTATAATTTCATGGTTTATACTTAAACCTGCATCTGTTTTGAGTGAGTTTTTACAGGAGGGGTGAGATGTGAGATGTGCCCCTGTCAGTGAGTGCATTCGAATCCTGGGGACCCCGGATCAGGGCAGAACTGCACCGTGGG